AAGAAACACAAAGCAATTAACTGAAAGGAAGATGAAATGCTGGTCATTTTTGGAAACATAAAATTCTATATGTTTTGTTTAAAGAAAATAAACCCGAAGACTAAAAAATACATTAGACAATGAGGGAAGTACAATTTAGAGGGTGAAATGATCGATTTGCTTGCCACAGCCATATTTGAGAATGCAAACGATGGGTTTATAAAGAATTTGGCCTTCTGATGTGGCTTCCCGTGGATCTTTCAGAAGGAGGCAATTAGCATATGAGCAGAAAAAAATTCCAAATGAAAACATCTATGACAATAGAGGGTAGGACTTTAGAGAGTAAAGCGAAAAGTGGAAACCATTTGATTCTTTAGGAAGAGTAAAATTACCTTCTTCTCACTTTGGAGTATTACTTTTCATTCCCTCTATTTGTACTCACTAAAACCAGGGTTAGTCAGATAACTCGTCAGTGGGACTTTATTTTCTCCACTTTTTATCACTGTTTGTAAAACCCAGTTTGGCTCACCACGTGGATCTGTTTTGGCTGGTGTTATCGGGCAGATGTGGGGCGCCTGCCTTAGACCATGGGGCGGGCACAGGCCCTGCAAGGCTCATCAGAGCAGCTGTTCCATATTGAACAGGGTCAGCTCGGTCAATACCCAGGACTCAGAGATTCTGTGCCTGGGTTTATTCTCATTTATTGCAGCCTGCTTGATATTGTTTCCATTTTCTCCATCTCTTCAGTAACAAAAAGAATGCTAGAGGTGGGGAAAGCCAATGGTGTCAAATCACAGCCTTTGGATTGCTAAAAAATTAGCAACTTGGGCTAAGGCATGGGCCAGTTTGATGTAGAACTGACATCTCCTGAGTTCTTACTATATACCAGATATTTCTCATGTACTCTCTCATTTAATTTTACAACACCCCTGCTAGATATGTATGATCATCTCCATTTTAAAGATGAGACTTGGGGGCTCAGAGAGGTTAAGTAACTTGCTTGAGGTTACACAGCTAGTGGTTGATGGAGCTGATTTCCAACTCAGGTCTAGTTGGACTGTGAATTTCTGGTCCTTTCTTCTAAGGCATGCTGAATACTCCAATCTGTTCTCTTGTCTGTCTCCACTGATGTTCCCCTGTAGTCGCTTAAGAATTTAATTGTATACTCACAATTCTTGTACATCTGAGTAGCAGGTGGATGTTATCCGACACTGTGAAGCCAACAGACTTTTCTCAGATCTCAAGTTCCTTCACCTTTCTGTCAGACTCGACAGACTGACTTCTACTTCCTTCTAAAATCAGGCTGAGTTTACTCTTCTGTTTGAACTGTTCCTACTTTCCTCCTTGTCTTCTCTTTCTGTTCTATATCTCTGGTTCAGTCCTCTTTTCTTAATATATGTTCCTCCTCCAATTTTAGATTTTCCCACATTTCACATTAATTTCTACTGATAACCAGCTCTGCCATGAACTAACTGCTTGACATGATCCTGACCTGATCTCTGGGCCTCAGTTTTCTCATCTATAAAATGGAGCCATTGGAGGAGATAATGTCTAAAGTTCTTTCTACTCT